TATTCTAATTAGTAAGGTCCCTACATCAGAAACTGATGAACACAGAGAGAGAACTTGGGGTGGGGGTTTTGAGGGCTTAGTGCTTAGACTTCGCTTTGTTTAACACTAGGAGAGTCCGCCCCCATGAAGAATGCAGTGCATTAATGGGCTCGTTGCCAGATTCCGAAAGCCCCTGCGCCTACAAGCCCCGGAACCCGTAAACATTAGTTTAGGGGCCAGACTACTCCTTCGGGTCCCTTAATGAATATAGTATTATATATACCACAAAACCGTATTCCGAGTATCAAAGCCCCTACATTACGACATCCGGCCTCCTAGAAATTATGAAGCCTAGGCCCTCAACCTGATAACTAAACGATAACGCACCCAAAACCCCAACACCGTTTCGAAGGCCCCCTGACTAAACCCTTAGCGTTTAGGATTTAGGGTTTTGGNNGGTTTAGGGTTTAGGGTTTCTAACTAAACCCTTAACCTTCAACGCGAAGATTTGTCACGACATCCGATGGCCGAAGGCCTCGGGCAGCCAGTCGCGCGGAATAAGCAAAACTCTCTGGAGGGGGGGGGGGGGGGGGNNGGCAGATTCGTTCTGTTCCCCTTTTTGGGTTCTCCGCATAAGGATCAACACATGTGTATACACAATATATACGTACATATATACATACAGACAAACATGCAGACATAGATGTTTGACCTTGCAAGGAATGCGAAGAGGATTGCTCTGAAGAAGGAACCGTTTTGCTGTTATTGTTAATGGCTTCGGATGCTTCGGGTGTGGCAATTGTTGGGTGCTTTGGCAGAGGGTGTAGCTTGCGTCTTTTTACACCCTCTCCGTTGGGGCTTCCCCGCAACATGACACCGACATCACCGACAGTAAGCCAAATCCCGAAGCAAGGTCGCTAGGGATCTCGAACGCTGTCTAAAACTGGCTTGGCCTTTGCAGTCCCCCGAGCCACAGCACCGGTCAGCCTTGAGTTCAACTGAAGGACCTCTCACTGGATGGCATGCTGCATTTTCGCAGGGGTGGCATCGCAGATTGCTGCAATCTGGCAGCTCTTCCTTGAGCCTAGGCTTAAACCGTATGCTCTCAAGTCTGAGTCCTGTAAACTTGGTCAGAGGTGGCACTCCTAAACCGCTCCACGCTAAACCGCAAGACCTGCCATCCTCCGCAGCCTGCAGGGTATACACATGCAAGCGTGCATACCAGTGGTGCTGTTTCGTCTTCTCTGGCTCAAGGTTTTACTTGCAGCTTTTAGCCGTGCTAACTGCCTGCTCTCGCAGGTATAAGCTTTTGCTCTCTGTCGCGATGTGGCGCCGTGTGGTGTGCCTGGCTTTCTTCGGAGTTGTTGCTGCGGTCACGTCTGAGACGTTCTGTGCTGGAAGGCGAGCAGATAGCGACCCTAAACGTTAAACTCGACCAAAAGAAAAAGGCTTCTGATTTCATGTTTACGAGTGTGTATATATATATACACACACATACATACATGCATACATACATACATATGTACAATTAAACAAAGTACACTGCTTGAGTCGGAGTTTGCACAGCCCCAAACCCCAAACCCTGACTCCGAAACCCACATGTGTGACTAGAAAACGAGAAACACCAGACCTTAAAACGACAGCCTTAAAAACAAAACACGCCCAAAAATCACAGGTCAGCGCCTGAACTTTATTAGCCCTCTAAACCCTAGAACACTAATACTAAATCCTGAGCCAGACACTCATTCGCACCCCCCTGGAGGGCTTCTGCGTCGTCGGACTTGCAGGCTTGCTGCTGTTGCTGGGGTCCAAGTGGGCTTCTGGGGTTGGGTGGTTTGGTGGTTTTTGGCTTTGGGGTGTGGAATGCTAGGGTTAAGACTTCTGGGGTTCAGCTGATTCAAGTGCTCAATGATCACTCAACTCGCTTTCGTGATGTTGGCTCACTGCTTTTTGCCGGGGTCGTGACTTCTGCAACCATCTATGAACCCATGGTGCCATCCTTAGCGCAAGCCCGACCTTCATGCCGGAAAGGCGCTCTCTCTCTCTCTCTCTGTATCTGTCCCCCTTGTCTTGTTTATACAAGGCAGAATGCCCATGCAGGAGGAGGCGGCCCAGGGAAGAGATGGGAGTCTCCGAAGATAGGGGACCCTAATATAGTACCCTAAATAGTAGGACCCTTATTCTAAGGACCCCAAAATAAGGTACCCCTAATTTTTGGAAACTCCCAAATAGAATGATCCAGGAGACCGGTCCAGATTGCAGCAGCCTCCTGCAGTCTCCTCCTCGCCGGGCGGTGCTGGACCCGACGAACGACCAAAACCGGCTCCAGGCTGATTTGTTTGGTGATGAGAGTTCTGTAAATGTTCGGATTCTACTCGAAGTTCATATGGTACAAGATGATTGGGAGAGGTCTCATCCGATGCCAGAGACTCCAGCGTCTAGGGACCCTTCCCAGGGCGCGTTCTCAAAGTAGGTCATACACACCCAGACAGACGTTGGAGTCCTGAAGCGGGGGCTCAGGGATCTTCGGGCTAAGTCTCATGGGCCTTGCTTGGCATCGCCTGAGGTATCTAAGCATGTAGAGGTCGGAGGAATCGGAACTATTGTGCCCTAGGGCTCCTCTACAAAACAGCGTACCTATGTCAGAGACTCCTCGCCTGGAGGAGCAGGTTGCAGGCCAAGGCAAAGCAACATGGCCTGGCCCTGCGCTCAGACGACTCCGGCCTTGTCCACTAAACAGCTTTTGGACTTGAAATTTTTGAGACGGTGAGTATCCTGCAAACAGCTTTTGAGCCGTGCACTAAAGGCAAAACGAAGTAAAGCCCCAAACCCCACAACCCGAAGCCCTAAAACGCCAAAAAAACCGAAAATCCCACACACCACCTAAAACCTGAAAACCCCAGCTGAAGGCTACTGGCCATTCAGGCGCTGGTGGTCCCGTAAGCGGGGCTACTACAATGTCCCACCGGCTGAAGAGGCTCCTGGGCTGCATCTACTCGAGAATTTAGGCCCAGATAGCATGGCACACATATCTATATATCTATATATCTATATATCTATATATATATATATATATATATTATATCTGTACATGTACACATACATGCATGCATGCATACATGCATACATACATACATAATTACATATGTTACGGACATTTTTGTTGTTATGGGCCATATATTGCTGCCTTCATGCCCGCTCTTCGCACAGCACTTCGGTAGATGCAGCGAACAAGAGAAAGACCTCGAGCATTGCTTTCTATGTTTGTAGGCAAGTTGGGGCCGAGGGTTGGTTTCAAGGTTTGGGGTCATGGCTTGAGGCGGCCAGATGCTCTCGTGTGTGCGAGCAACCTCTTCACCTGTGCGAAGCTGAGGGATTTGCCGCGGTGCTGCTGCAGATTCTTTTGGGTGTGGACGACGCGGCAGAAGTGCGGGCCCTAGGGAGAAGTGCACAAGAAGTTTGCGGTAAAGCTAAGGGAAGCTTAGACGGCTTTCCATGGCAGGTGCTGGCAGAGCTGGGCAACCAGACAGAACGGGCAGCCTTCGAAGAGTGGCTCCAAGACTATCTTGGTCCAGATGCTACTCGGACTCGGGCAGACACATTTGTAATACGGGGCTCCTAGGAGTCTCGCAGGTTTCCTCGAGTGTTTTGTTCAAAACGCCGTCCATTGCTTCAGACGTTCTGGAGCTCTTCGGAGGCTGCTAGGCTCGACCCACACAGAAAAGTCTGACCTCGACATGCTCGTTGTGCGCAGTGCTGTCCGCAGTCGCTCATGGCCAAAAGCAACGGGAGAGCGCTGATCCTGGCAACCTTCCCCTTCTGCACAGCGAATGGTCTAAGGGCTACTGTAAGGGTCCAGAAGTTCAGCTGCTTGTTGCAGAAAGCTCCTTGTTCCTTTTTGGGGTCCCCAATATAGTACGGCACCATTATAAAAAGGACCCCAAAAGGGACCCTAATTTAGAAATCTTCTCTCGTCAAAGGCAACGAACATCGTCGTGAGCTTCGGAGGTTCGGCCAGCCTCTTGCAGGTTGTCGCGCAGGTTGGGCCGGCCGTCTAATGTAGGGGCCTTAATAAGTAGAATATGGTTTTGGGGGTCCCGATTACAGTTCTGGTAAAATAAGCCCCAAAACCCTATCCTAAACAAAAAGGCCCCTACACAAAAGCTGTCGGATGCCGTCGTGTCCTGTTGGATGAGGAAGACAGGCTTCTGTCAACCGCTGTTTGGGGTGGAAGATGTAAAGAGGGCCAACACTTCCTTTTGCGAGTGTTCAGGGTTCAGGGGTTCAGGCCGTGGTAGGGCCAAAAAAAATGAGCCTCTTGGGCTGACCTGCAGGCGGAAATTGTCCCCATGAACGTCAGCTTCGTTGCTACATCTTCCCTGGCCTCCTCTCTCACGGAGTCAGGCCCCCTTTGTGGGCCTTGCTTGAACTGACTCTTGAGACTCGCCGGGCGATGCTCTGCAGACGGCCGAGTGCCTTCTGAAACCAGAACTGGACCCCCCCCTGCAAGGCGGCGTGGCCGAAGCGCTTCCAAATGACGTCGTGACGGCGCTTCAAGATTCTTTCCCAGGCCAGTCCTAGCGAAGCTCCATGCTTGAAGGGAAGAGTCGTGGATTGCGAAGGACCTTTCAAGTAAGCACGCAAGACACTGTCGAAATGACTCGGGAAAAGTACTGGATTACTCGGCTCCCATGTTACGTGGCACTTGGACATGGCCCTCACCCCAAACCCTAAACCCTAAACCCGGGCCCCAACCGGAAGGCACGGCAGGGAAGGTGAACAACGCGACCATCCAAGATGTGCAGGTCGAGGCCGGTGCATCGCAGATTTCCCTTTGTTGATTATTATTATTATTGTTGTTATTATTATTATTGTTATTGTTATTGTTATTATTATCATTATGATTATTAGTAATAGGAATAATAATGATGATAATAGTAACAATATTAAGAATAACAAAATTTTTGAAAGCAGTTGGTTTTTCTCTAGTACTGTTCCCTAGGGCTCCTTGCTATCATTGCAGTACATCATCACAAGGGTTGTCTTCAAGATACCGTTCCAAGAGAACAGACCATCTTGATCTTCGATTTCGCTCCTTAACTAGAAGCCTACAAAAGGGCTGAGATTGCAGAAGCTGACGTGGGAGGACCTTCGTATGGACCCTCGTCTAGTTCGGTACCGATTCGGTACCCCAAATTGGAGAACCCCCATGTCTTCCACTTCCAGCGCTCTGTGCTTGAGCAGCAGTTTCTTGGGGCAAAGGCAGCCTATGGGTCTCTTCCCGTTTTGGTTTCTGTATCTCTCTCTCTCTCGCCTGTGTTTCGGGGTGTTGGGGACTTTAGTGCCATTGGTCAAAGACACCGTTCGACCTGCGTTAGACGGCAGGAACCGGGGTCCTGGCTGGTCTTAGAGCTCAGAGTCTCCCTCTGTCGTTGTTCTGAGCTCTTTCAATTTGTTTCTGTCGGTCTCCCTCTGTGCCTCTTTCTCTTTGTGCCGTAGCGCCTACTGAGGGCCTAGCAACAGAAGTGAATTGACCCTTGAGGCCCAAGCCACAACGACGGAGGCGACACCACGGCTCGTTATTTCAGACGTTGAGGGTTCTAGGGCTCATAGGGTTTAGGCTTTGGATTTTTACTGTTTGGGCTGCCCCAAGACCTACGCAGCTGTGAGAACTTCGACTGCGAGAGTTCTTTGGCGAAGAGATTCGAGCCGTGTACAAGCCCGAACCTTCTGAAACCCTAAACCTCCTGCCTTCCCTGCCTTCTGACTTGCTCTCTCTCCTTCGTCGCGCTCGCTCTCTCTCTCTCTCTCTCTCTCTCGAAAGAAATGAGTCGACCCTTGAGGCCCAAGAGAACACGACGGAGGCACGCTCAGGGTGTAGGCTGCGAAGAGAGAGATACAGCAACTATCCTTAGCCAAGGGGCAACCAGAGGGGCTCAGATGATTCAAGTTGTGATCTCGCCGCACGACGTTGCACGACAATGAGGTTTCAGCTGCGCCTTTGACCGAGAGAGTTTTTAGGAAGCTTCCGTGTCTTGAGTGTTTCCTTACCTGCCCCAGGAGTCAACAACCAGCAACCTGACTTCCACAACCAGCACCGATGCTTCTACGACGGTCACGGTGGGGGGGGGGTCTGCTTCACGAGTCTTTGCAGTTTCTTTCCACCTTCTTCGGTTTCTAGGACTCTCATGGGGAAAAGCTTTTCCAGAGCCTCAGAGCCCCTGCTCAGGTGTTTAATGTCCAACTGGAGCTGGACTTCCTGCTGGAGCTCGACAACGCCACGGCAACCGGGCTTCGACAGGAGCTTCTGCTCTGGGATAGATGTGGCGCGGAGGGGCTGCAGCGAAGTTCAACCTGAATCAAGAAGCTTAGCACCTTTTCGCGGCAAATTCAGCGGAGCTCAAAGTCAGTTCTTTCCCCAAGGACCCTTAGTGGGTCCTAAAGCCCTAAAGCAACCTCAGCAGGCCCCAGCACTGCTTCCCAGGCCACTGCGCTGGTCACCAACGCCACGGCCCAAGCAGCGCTCAAGGACTGGCCCGAGCAGTGGGCAACAGGTTACCCTGAAATAGGATACCACAGGCATAAGCGGCATAGATGTAGATATATGTAGAGAAACCCGTGCCATGTGTAAGTGCCTACATGCAACCGATCGTTGCGTCCACTTTCCCATGTATTTCCAAACCCAGCTTCTCGCTGTGAGATTGGAGCGTGTTTGTTTGGATGAAAACCACCGGCGAGGGCGCAGGGACTGGAGGCGGAAGTCCACCGCCCGCTCCACATCCCACCACGTTGCACTGCGCGTCCGTCTTGTGAGCTTGACTCAACAACCCCCTACACTCTTTGCTGCGAAATCCCAAAGCTGGGTGTGCGAGCCTCGGCCGTGAGTCGTTGGTGTCGATGGGGCTCAGCTTGGTTCGTGGTTTCTTTGCACCAAAACCAGTTGTTTTTGCGCCAACCTTCAGGAATGGTTTGCCGCCAAGGTGGGCATCGACGCTTCTGGGATTTGAAGCTCGTGATAAGTTTCCCATACATGCTGCCCAATCCCTTTGGTTTCTGCACTAGTTCGGTCCCTCTCTTGGCAAGAGGGATAGCCGTCACCTTGATGCAGTCATCCAACAAGTATACTGTAGGCAGCAAAAGAAGGGTCTTCTTTGTAGCGGCTTCCGGAACTTGCAAACTTGAGAAAAGGCTAGTGACAGTCACTGTTAGTGACTGTCAAAGTCCAAGGCATTTCTGGGATCTGCATGCGAACCGTAGCAACTTCACAAGACAAGTAGTTTCAGAGCAACTTAGCTCTGAAATGAGCCTCCACGACCCCTCAACGCCTGCAGCCACAAATCCTAAACCGTCCAGCCCCAACCCTAAATCCTCACAAACCCCTCTCCGGCCTCAGTTGAGGCTGGATTCGCTTCTCTTTCGGTTGCAACTGTCCTCAGCGGGAGCGAGAATTCCAGCTTGAGCCTGCTGGAGGGCTCACGTCGGGACCGGCTGCCTTAGGGTTTAGGGTTTAGGCTTCTGCAGAGTCTTTGGGGAATGAGGTTCCAGAGCGAAGGGAAAAAGTACATTATAGTGTATTATGGTACATTATGGTTTATTATGGTACATCATAGTACATTATGGTATACTATAGTATATTATAGCATATTATAGCGGCCCCTGATTGGATTTAAGGATTGGCGGGGGTGGAGGGTGCACGACCTCTTCTTCGAATGGATCGAGGCTGTGTCAAAGCAAACCCCTACACCAAAGCACGCGCGTCTCCGTGTAGGCCCAAATAGCCCTCGCAGCTGTCCGCCGAAATGAGAGCAGTCTGTCAGATCATAGCAGGAATGACAGAATGAAACGGTAACCCCCAAAGCCGCGATGATGTCAACAAAAGTCCCTGACAGATGGGCTGAAGCCCCGCGCCTTCCGCAACTATGGAACGAACCTGTGAGAATAGTGACCGCGACAGGGTGATATTTCGTAAAGTAGACGGTGCCTGGTTTGGATATGCGCCGTATTCCAAAATAGCAACCCTTGTTTTTCTTCACCCCGAACCCTATGTAAGGCAGAGTCCGTTTTTGAGAAAGCACGAGGACGGTAGCCTCAGCAACGTCATCGCACGTTTCGTCGCTCTTTTCGCGGAGCAGTCGGAAGCGGATGCAGCAGAGAGCCAGATCCAAGGCCCCAAAGCAGAGAGATCATGTTCCTGGTGTTATTCAGGTTATTCATTGCATTATTTCACCATGTAATATAGCAATTATTGAACAATTATCAACTAGTCAGTAATTATTCTCTGTCAGGTCCAGAGGTTTTGGGGGTTTCGGGGCAATGGGGCAATGGTTCTGGGTTGTAGGTCTTCGTGTTGGAGTTCTGGGTTTGGGACCAGGTGTGGCAGCCAGCAAGTTTGGAGGAACAGAGCGGATCCATGTTCTTAGCCTTCTGATTCTAGTCAGGCCACGGATGGTTCAGGAATTGCAATCCTGTCGCTCGTGCTGTGAAGGCGATGATCAGCTCGTGGCTGACTTCCTGCTGGCGACGGAAGCACTGTATCCAGGCTTTGGGGACGCAGCGTCTAGGATTCCCAACATTTTTCTGAAAGCCAGAAGATTTGTCCCACTTCCTGCTTCACCGTCTTTCACTGGCCAGGCCCATAGCCACAGAAACATCCCACGCACACACTCAAGCCATGCATGTATCTCGACCCTAGCAGTTTTGCAAGTGTGGATACATCAGACTAAGGAGCATGTAATGCTCTGCATCTACACCTTAGTAAGGTGACCCGTCTTATCCCCAAACCCTAAACTCCGATCTCTGCACTAAAAGGGGCGGCCCTCGGCCCTTGAACTGCTGCTTCGGCAACTCTCGGCTTGGCAGGTGCGACGGTGCGCGTCCTCGAGGCGAGCAGTGGTGGAACGCCCCTGGCGGCTTGGCAGAGGTTTATTGAAGCGTACAGCTCAACTAGAGGACGCGTGTCCGGAAAGCATTCTGAACAGGAGGAGGGAAGACAGAGCATCTCAATTATCCGTCCAGAGGTGGGGAGACCCTCATACGGTATAGACCTCGACTATCCCCTCGTTTCGCCAAAGGTGGCAGATGGGTCTCTTCTGACGCGTTGCTTTGGCACTCTCTCGCTCTCTCCGTCTCTCTCTGTATCTGTGTATCTCTTCTCTCCCTCTCTCCCTTGAGAGGGCCTACCATCGAAGCGGCTCGACCCTTGAGGCCCAAGCGACAACCACGACCACGACAACACCGTTGCCGCCATCAAGTCGTCCCGGAAGGTCTTTGTTGATCACGGCGGAGAGCGGCGTGTTCCTGTGTAAGATTCCTGCCGTTGGCGCCAGCAGCTTGCCCATGGACCCAAGCAACTCCAGCTTCTGCAAGACAGTGGGGCTGCCCAGCGACGCTGAGCAGAATCCGCCTGCAGGCCTGAACAAGCCCTTCCGGTCCATCCAGGCGGACAACGGCGACATCATTGTGGTGGACAAGAACAACGGCCGGATTCAGCGATGTCCCCTTGCCGGGCCTTGTTTCACGGTGGCCCCGGTGGGCAGTACGACCTTGAACGAGCCGCGTGCGGTGCAGCTGGACGAGGCTCTTGTTTTGGCTCATGTGTTCACTGCGCATCCTACTTAAACCCGTAAACCTAAGCCCCAATCTGAACCTGCATGCTTTGACCCTGCAAGTGCCAGTGCTGCCTGCTCTAGTGAGTTTTCGGCTTGCTGCACAGGCCGGGAGGTACGTGATTGCAGACTTCACCGGCGTGAAGCGGTGTGATGCAACGAGCTGCGAGCAGTTGGGCCCTGCCCCCACCTTTCCCGATCCGTTGGACCCTTCATACTCCACGAGTGTGTTGGATGGGGCGAATGACGTGCGCCTGGAGGGTTCGGACCACTTCGTGACTTCCGCCGTGAACGGCAACGGAGTGCAGAAGTGCCAGGCGGTAGTGAACGGAACATGCGACATCATCCTGAACATGCAGCTGTCCTGTGCCGTCGTTGGGGAAGATGGTTACTTCTTCTGTGACCCGTCCTTCTACGGCACCGATGACAGCATCAAGTTCTGCCGCTTTGAGGATGTGCCGTGCCAAGGCAACGATCTCACCATTGTCGCTGGAGGTGAGCGTGGGAACGGCCCTACACAGATGCGCGCTCCTGCCGACGTGCTTCTGGATGAGACGGGCAGTTTCATCGTGGCCGACTCTGGCTTTTCCGAGAACAACCGCATTCAGCGATGCCCGCCGCGGCAGGACCCCAACATCGCCGAAGTTTGTGAGACCTTGTTCCAGGGCCCTGGCCTCTTCTACCCAACCGGCCTGGCCTACTCCACC